ATTGTGATCAGACGGATTAAAATAAATAATTGGTAGAAAGAGTAATTTATGTATTTCTTCACACTTTGCAACCCGACAAATAATATTTATTGTAGAATTCGCTAAAAGCTTCGTAAGTTATTTCATTTTTGTTTCAAATATTATAGGCAAAGTTACAACAATTTTTTATTTATTGTTGTCAAACCGTATCGTTTCATTTGGTATTATGAATTTGGTTTCGAAAGAGGCCGCTCTTTACATAAGACACTACTAATATAAATTACTAAAATAACGAAACCTCATACTATTTATTGTGGCAATGTCATAATTTTTTCACGTGTACTAATGTTCTGTTACTTAAGATGCCCTGGCGTCGCCAAATTGCCATCACTTGACATTGAATTGACATTGGAAAGGTCCAAGATACAGCTGTGGACATAGATCACTTTTCCACTATATAAGACCATACATGATCGCGTAATAATTAAATAAAATACAAAGAACCGGACAGCGAAAAATATTGTAAAATAATAATAACTGATGGATGTAACGATAAAACCTGTGAAAATATATATACTGTTACAAACACGTCCTACAGTCAAAACTGCAAGGTTTAATACTTCGGAACCTTAAAATTCATCACACCGACAGCAATTGCTTTCATCACTGGTATTACAGTTTCAGTGAACACTTTCACTAAAACGTAAAATAACTTACACCAGAATTTTACTCGTGGGTTTACAAGTCACTGCAAAGTAGCCCGTTTAAGTCAACGGGACCAAAAACGTATCCACGCTGGTCGCTTATCATCTGTATTTAATCCCACAAAAATTAATAAAATTCAGAATTAAATCATATAGTCCATGTATTTTCAACGTGCGTCCCACGAGTCTATTTTGTTGCCTGTGAGATTTTAGGTTCTCACGGTGGCGAATATGATGGAGGCAATAATCACCTCCGAAACGTCGGTCAATTTCTACCAGACTATAAAGAGCAACATCCCAACAGACAGTCATCTAAAACGTTCAATTTTCTTACACTGTTATCACCCTGTGATGGAAAAAATGTTACTACCTAAGTTATGCATTATTTTAATTTTAAATTTTAAAAAAATTCGTAATATGTGAACCTCATTTTCTAGCACTGAAGATCATAATATTTATGATTAGAATCTCAACGTGTATATCACCCGTTAATTTTTCACGTGTTTCTAAGATTATCCTTTTTGCAAGGCCGCATTTAGAAGTTTTGGAATACCAACTGCAAATAAAACTCCAAATAAAAGTTGTCCCACTATACGCCATGTAGACGCTTGGGGGCAGAGTTAGCTCCTTATAATTCTTAACCGCGCTCTGCCCCCGGGAAAGGACCCCGGTACCCACTGGATAAGAAGCTGGGTGGGCCCCACAGCCGGTCTGGACGCAGAGATTAGAGGAAAAAAAATTGTAATTTAGTCTTTAAAGTATCAAATATTGTTCCTGTGTCAATATCTTAGATTCTCCGTTAATATCAACGGGTCGTTCTTATCTATTTATTGTTCTGCGCACTGATGGCTAGAGTAATACTTAAATATTTGAAATATATTCAGTATTCATCATCAAATATGAATTAGTTTATAAAAAATTCGTTGATTTTAATCAAAATATGAACCTTAAAGATCTTCCTGTTCAGTAAAAGTGTCCTAGTGCTAACATTTAAGGTTATTGTACATTCCTGAAATTACTTAATCAGAAGCTAAACGATACTTCAGAAGAATTACAGGTTTTGCAAGGAGTCAGGTAACTCCGTTGGCCGCTAGGTGCGTTCGTGTATTGTTTTGGAATCGTCATTAATATTGAAGATTAGTTGAATCCACGTCAACGTGAATATCGTATTATAAATCAGGTATACAAACAAAACTGTTTACACTTTGTAGAAACGTAATTTCAAACGCGTTTCGACCTCAAGAGGTCATCATCAGCGACAAAAAAAATTAATTCATAAAATACAAATCATCGTTGACGTTCACAGGCACAGACGACACAGACCAGTGGACATAAAAGCTGAGTGCCCAATATAATACACCAACTCCTGTGCAACCAACGTCCAGTGAGGTGTTACATAATTATTTCTTTGTAAAGTTCATATCTTTTATGCTCTGTAGAAAACCACGGTCTTTTGAATTGTATTTTATGAATTAATTCGTTTTTCCACTGATGACGTCCTCTTGAGGTCGAAACGCGTTTGGCATTACTGTCAGAGAATAATTATTACTCTCGTATAACCTATTATTGTGTTTTCGATGTAATGTGTATAATGAACTACGAAATGACTCTGTCGAGACTTTTCTTCGGTCTGTTCTGAAGCAGAAACGATGTTACTGCCTAAATATGCATGAGATGAATCTCCATTTATTACAAACAAACTTCTAAGCCTCTTAGAAGTTTCCAACCTTTCAAGACCTGAGGGCGTACTCACCTCTTCGTCAGCGATTCGCTGGCTGGCGATTTGTAAATGTACTGAGAGAAATTTATTGAGACTTCGTGGAGATATGATAAAGTTTCATTATATCCATTGAATATTTTCCATTGCATGTAATAAGTTTACATTACATGTTCATTTGGTTTATCTTGTTGGCTTCAGATTCGAGAACTCCTGTTGAGTTATTTTTGGTACAAGTTCGTGTCTGGGATTGAAGGTTTACCTCTTATATATTAAACGTTTTCCGTAACAACACTAAACTTCCCGAAAATAAGTATCATTTAAAACGAAAATAAACATTATTATTCACAATATTAATAGTGTGTTGGTACCCTTGGCCTTCCAGCAAAGGCGCCTCTACTGCCCAAGTCATGAACATTTTCGGTTCCTCTGATCGAATTAAAATAGCACAAAACATTCAAGTACGTTCAGTCATGCAAGGTTTCAGCGCCACTGAAATGCTCCGTTTGAATTTGCGACGTGACGCCGAAAGAAATAACACACTCCACTATTACGCATATTCGCTCGTCTGTTAGTTACGCAATCATTTGACTAACTCTGCGCGTGAATAGCCAAGAGCCTCTCCCGTCATTCATAGTTCATAATCAGCACGCCATTTAAATGTTGACGCTATACAAGTGAAGTAATTTCCCACAATTCTTAACTACTCCGCGTCAGCACACACACACACACACACACCTTCCAGTTACATCTCACAGCAGAATATTGACTACGTCTTGTCTCTCATGTTTGCAAACAGATTCTGTCTTCCTGTATCACTGCATCTATCTTTAATACTTTCACAAATCCCACCTGCATTATTCTCCTTTAATTCTTGCCAAATATACCCCATTTCCTCAATCTTACG